ATCATAGTAGATACCAAGATATCTAATTATATCAGTAGATTTTCTGGGATTGATTATTTGATTATCGAATTGGAGTAAATAGTTTGGTATTTTGAAGTTTTTAGAAGAGTAACTAATTAGAATTCATTACATAAAAATTAGCCAACCATATTTGATTATATGTCTCAAAATGCGCGGATGTTTTTTGCTGTTCGGTACTGTACGACACTATTTTTCCTAGATTATCCAAATATAGCCTTTGAATATCAATTTGTGCTTTGCGAGCAACAAAGAAATTCGGAAAAATAATGCATGATTGCACCATTTACGTACGTACGTACGTGCGTTATAGACAACATCCGAATACAACTCTATAGTCATTACAGTTTCCGATTGAAATCGGAAAAAACATATACCCAAAATAGGCTTAAATTTTGAAAAGAAAACTTTGTAATTTATAAACGGTCCAATGGAATCAGTTCATATCGATATGAAAAAATTTTCACCAATTCGGAATTATTGACATAATTGTACAACTCTAAATTTGTAATTCAAGTGATGTTTTATGCATTATAAATACTGAAACGATAACGACCAAATTATCATGACTGCTTACAATGGCCGGAAATAACAGGAATCAAGGGTTAATTCAAATTTCTGACTCTAACAATGAAAATAACTTATTAGTTACTGAAAGTAATAGTGCTCAACAATCACGTCAACGTTCAGAAAATAACGTCAGAAAGAGCATCTGTTGGAAGTATTTTGAACCATTTAAAGTTCCGAAGCGTGGTGAGATAACAAAGTGCACTATTGATGGATGTAATACGGAATACACATGGTGCGGATCCACTTTTAACCTTGTCCGCCATCTTAGGACTAAGCATGATATAACATCTACAACAGTTATTCAATCATCATTAACAAACAATAACTCTAGAAACTTTGTTAATCTACCAGTAATTAAATTTATTGTCTCCTCCGTATTACCTTTTAATATTGTTGATAATTTAAAGTCTTCTGGACTTGTTAATCAACAAATTACTTCTAGCATTATAGAAAAACAAACATATAAAGTATATGATTTCTTATTCTCTCAATTGAAATCAAAAATTCAGCAAGCGAAATTTGGCATGCTCTCATTTAGTACATTATATGACGATACGATTGATGAATGTATTGTCATCATTGCTTATGTTTGGCTAACTGAGGATTTCAAATTTCGTAAAATCTTACTGCATGTGGACTACTTTAATTTTATGGAAAATACACTTGATGATATTATCAATGCTTCAGCTAAGTGGAAATTAACTAGGTTGGAATTTATTAACGGTAATCCAGAAGACTTCGATCTTTTTAATTCTGTTGATGATGATGATTATCTTTATAGCGATATGTCTGAAGATATTATCAAATGCGTGAACGGGGGTAATGGTAATTATTTAATAAGGTACAGTTTAAAAAGATGGGTCGAAGAAAATAATACGCAAGAAATATCTAACATTGTCACTGCTATTATGAACGCTACCGATAATCTTTGTTCAATAGTAGAGTTTTTAAAAGATAATAGAACACAAAAAATAATGAATGATTCCCAAAGTGCAAAAGAAATTAGGTGTAGTTGCAATTATCATAAAATAAAGTTTCTTAAATTAATAGAGCAACCTCTAAAGATATTAGTTAATGATCATAGTAATAGCAAGGATAACTTTATTAGAGAAAATGTAAAAAAGCTTAAAAGCCTTTTATTAGATAAATTACCATTTAGCATATTTCCCGAATTATTGAGATTATTTAAGCCTTTGGAACATATTAATGTCGTAACTATGAGAAATATTAGAGATATGTTAGTCAATGCATCTAATATTTTAAATGAGAGCCTGGCCATAACTTCTCAGTATTATTGGGAACGTGTGACCCTCGAATCGTTTCTGACATTCTTAATTAATTCATATCTGAATCTCCATCAGAGAGTAGGTTTGTTTTTAGATCCACATTCTAAATCAATTTTCATTCATGATGTAAGTTTATTTAAATTTTAGCATTGTTGAGATCATAAATTTATAATTAGTACTAATGTTTTCATATACATATCAGCCAGCGGTTAAAAGGCTTGTGTTAGATGAATGCCAAAACTATTATTCAGAATCTGTAATTAATTTGAATAAATCAATACAAGACTCAGCACATGAAGAATTTGAATATTATATTAGTCGCTCACAATTGTTCTATAATGAAAATGATGATTTATGTGAATGGTGGCAAAAGTCAAAAAATACATATCCTGGATTAGCTACACTCGCAATGAAGTATTTGCCTTTACTAAAATTAGATGACGAAGACGTCCCCTTTGAAAATGTTTTTAAATTTTTTGACGCTTATCAGAGTATAAAAATAGTAGATAAAATGGCATTTTTACATTATAATATGAAGAATTTTGATTTATGAAACGTAATATATTTACAGTATTTTGTATATTTTTTTTCATAAAAACTATTTGTCGTTAGAGTTAGTAGAGAAATTTTACTATTTATTTTAAATGCTATAAAAAAACATCAATTTAGTATCTCGGTTGATTTTTTGGATATAACAGTATAATAAAATAGAATTGATTATACAGTACAGGAGGTAAAATTTAGGATTTTATTTCAAAACATTTAACAGCTCCTGTCTCCTAGTTTTAAGCTTTATTGTTTTTGAATTTCTTCAATAAGTATTTGTCAAGCACGAAGCTTAATCCGGAAGCTCGTTGACAATCACAATACAGTCAGACCCTAAATGCAACTTCTCTCGATGCATAACTTAAGGCCTATAAAAAAATTTACATTTAGGGATATATTACATTTCAGGAGATAAAAATTTTAAGTATCATATGAATTATGACCAATCTAATTTAAAGGTAGATTATAAGCGAATAAAATAGAGCCTATTTAATAGTTTAATGTATAATATATATTCATATAAGCATCATTTTGTCCTAAAAATAATAAAAAATTAAATTTTAGCTTAATTTTATGATACTAAATTTAATATTATTATTACTTTTTTTCGCAAGTTAATTATGTTTTCCTAGCTTAAAACCATCTCTACAGTAAATAGGTATACCTAGCTCGACATGTAACATATACGATAGTTTAAAAACATTGCATTATTATCTAATGTTTTATCTTTAAAAATTTATTCTCTAGATGATTCTGCATAAAAAAAAAAATTGGAGCGTCAACATTTTAGAGATCTTTCTTATATGTAATTGCATTTCGAGCGTACTAGTTGTAGCAGAAGTAGACTGCATTCTTGTTCTTCAATTACTAATAATTTATTTTGACAAACTTCAAGACCTTAGTATTCAGTCGTTCCCAGTGGTATAATTTCATTTACATCATAGCGAGTCGGTTTTCTGTGGTACTGTTTATTAAACATCAAATAAATATCACCGCAGAAAATAAATGAAATTATTCCGTTTTTAAATAGAAACGATGTGCTTTGAATAGTAAATTCAAATACTTTGTGAAGCAATGTAGACCAATGATATTATGTTCTACTTATACTTGCTGGAAAAACCCAGACAAATCCATACACAAAAAACAAACTCCATTTCATTTATAAAAAATTAAATCAAAGAAATAATCTTGATATTTTGCAAATATATTACTTATAGAAAATATACTATTTGTTTAATTAAATTATTGAGATATTATTTTGGTCAGAGTTTGGGAAAAACCCAAGCTATAATAGTTTGAGATTTGGGCAGCCTGTATAGTTCTACTGTATTCCAGCAAGTTATTTAAATCATTGAAATTTGGGAGTATTTCTTTTTGGGTCGACATTTTAAGTCAGAAACTTTGTAAATTATTGTAAAGATTATTTTAAATTAGGATCAAGTTGATTCTTAATTCAAAATCCACTTAAGTGGTTGGTTCTCCGAATCTCATCTACATTATGTACATAATAGCTACGAGCTTAAAAAGAGTTCGGAAGCACGTGTGTAAATTCGGTATAACGGCTTAAATACTAGATACTGTAAAAAAAAATTCTAATTTACTAAATTTAATCGGCCAAATTCTTATGTTTTTTGGCCAAACAAATTTTGCTTGGCCGATAAAATTGCCAACACTGGTAACATAAGTGATTATAGAAGTTCCTTCCCATGTGACTCTTGACCAATGAAATCGGGTTATACTGTATAGAGTCATTTCGATTTCTTTAAAACGGTTAGTGATAAAAATGACTAACGCTAATTACCTCTAAAAATGTATTTTGGTTAGTGTCTGATCCAGATAAGGAAGCAATTTATATCTAGATTTAAAATCATTTTTAATTATAGAAATATCAGGACGTAATATATATTTATAGTCCAATATTAACTATTTAATTGACTAATCGAGAAGTCATTTTCATGGTAAAAAGTCTTAATTAGTTAAAGTTATTTTAGGCTTACCAAAATAGTTTAGATAAGAAAAATCAATAATAATTTTAGTCGATTCTTGGAATTTATTTTCACTCCGACTTCGATTTTTGGACTCTACTAAGTGATGCCACTCAAAAATCGTGAAAGTAAAAAAAAGGTTTATGATTTATACTGCGGTAGCTATAAGAATACTTGTCATTCCAGCATTCATGAATTTTTTGTAAAGGTCCTTGTTGTATCTTGTATCGATTAGTTATATATTTGGTCGGAATGTCATACAGTATTTCCGAAAAAAAAATTAAATAATCATGCTTTAATCATGTTTATTTACGTGGTTGCATTTTATACAAGGTTACAAATAATTCTTTTGGAAACTTCTTTTGTTCATCAAATATCGATATAAAAAATTCTCGTACGTATTCATGTATGAAATTTTTCAAATATTATAATTAAATAGCAGGAGTTGGAAATATTTAATAACAGGATCAATCATTGTGTAGTTTTTTTTTTTTTTTTCTCAACAATATTTCAAAATATTTTACAATGAATTCGTATAAAGATTATATGGATCCAGGATTTCAACCTCAAAAAATTACTATCGCACGGTTGCGTGAAATATTAGATGCTCATAATATACATTATACTGGTAGAGAAAAGAAGGCTGGTTTAATAAGAATTTTTAATACTCAAGTTCGGCCGCTTATACCATCTTTACGAGAAAAGGAAACTGGACTTACTTTAACTTCAGAAATAAAACCATATTCATATGTATATTTCTTAAAGAGATTTAAATTTTTTTTTATTATGAATTGAATTAAAATATATATATTGTTTCCTATTGCTATGATATAGTCAGTTCGTTCATCGCCACGTAGATGGTCAATTACTTATCGTTATGGTGTAATTTTTGCAATGTTGACAATTTTAATTGGATTTTTGTTCAACTATGACTTGGGTGCTAGCTTTTGTGATGATGCTGAATTTTCGAATATTTCAGTCAATTACGATGGAGTATCAAAAGTAAGAATTGATGATCAGTGATCTTAATTAAACAATTTTGTTGTATATATATTAATTGTCTTTAACATCACAGGTTCTTTTTTCTAGGCTACTTGCATTCCTTGCCCATCTCATGCTCATTGTTCAAAGGATAACATCATCTCGTGTGATAAAGGTTTCATATTAGTATCATCTTCGATTCAATGGCTCAAACCTTTTACCAGTAGATGTATACTTGATCTTAGTCTTGCGCGAAAAGTTAAAAAGTATACCGAGCTGCTTAAAAGCATTGTTGCCGAAGAAACTGGAAAATTTGAATGCGAAAATGGTCTTCAAGAGAATTTATTGTTTCAAAAGCTCCTTGTTCCACTTCGTAATAAGAAATTAGTAAATATGGTAACTTTTTTTAAATTTAGTTACGGGTGTGCACATTTGATGAAGTGAAATTATGATGTCAAACAATATATAACTACGTATTTAATGTGATTTATGATCATGTAACTAATGGTTCGTTTGTTATAATAATACTTCAGGATACTGACCAAGATTTTGAAATGTTCACTCGTCTTGCGTTAGAATACTTGAAATCTGATGATGATGTTGAAGTTACATATGAAAAAGAGTAAATTTTAAATTGTGGTACGAAATACTGTTTATAAATATTTTTTATTAATTTATAATTTATTTTATTTTTAGGTTTGGCCGTAAAATTAACATATATATTTTCTCAAAGAATCCAAGACGTTCTCTTGCTTGCCAACTTAAACCCTATCTTATCCATAAAATTAATTTCTGTAAAGCTTGGATACCAGAGAACGCCAAAAAAATTATTGGTACTGTATAAGCGTTTTAGATGTTTCAATCTTTATTTAAATCGTCCACAGTTTTTCTACAATATTAAATGAATTTATTCAATTATTAGGACTTTCTCTGATTTTGATTGCTTATTTTATAAAACGGAGAATCGACCTGGTAAATAAAACTTTATAATTAAATTTAAATGAGCAGAGGTGTTGGCATATTGGAATAGGTAAGTTACGACAAGGTTATATATCAATTATAAGATTTTCTGCAGCAAGATTATAGTTATTGTTGTCTTCTAATGTGATATAATTAAAGTCGATATTCCCAATATGTCTGCATCCTTATTAAGAACGAACTATAACTTCAATAACAAGAATCAACCATACTTTATATTGAACTGCGGAAGCATGAAATGAATATTAAAAATAAGCCTTGTGGCCTTCGTTTGTGAAAATTTCACTACTGATAATATAAACTTAATGCTGACAGAATTTATAGATAAGCTAACACTTAATTCAAAAAAAATAGTTCTTTTCCCAAATCCCAGAGACTGACTCTATAATTGAAAAGACGGAAATGACGATATTAACAACTTATGACGAAGATTATCTCTCTGTCGCGAAATATTTTCACACGGGACTTCCACACAACACTATACTTGGAATATTGAAGTTGAAAATGCCAACTAAATTTATTAGAGATCATGCAGCATATAAAAGGCGGAACGGTTTTATGTCGTCATATATAATGTTTCATGGCACAAAATCTCTATGCGATCCCAAGCGATTTATTAAAAATCCACAAGATACGTTTTGCAATGAAGGATGTGGAGTATGTGGAATTGTGCGAGAAGGTAACAAAACAAAATATGCCTCAAAATACTACTCTGATAAACGTCGTAAGTATTTTTCATAAACTTTTCATATATCATATTAGCTAGTTTTAATTAATACATTCTTCCTTTTTTTATAAGATATGTGGTTTGCCAATAGTTCATACACTTCATATTACTATTGTAATCGCTATAGTGCTATTACGAACGCAATGTTTGTCGTCGAAGTTGTTGCTAAATATGGCGATTCTATAACAATAGTTGATTGTGATGCGGTACACATTCCATAAACTATTTTATTTGTTTCTATCAAGATTTTGTATATAATCACTTTCTTTTAATATAATAATCTTATTGTTATTGTGTTTAAATCAGGCTACTATTCCAAAATATCTTATCATCTTTCGGTGAAGAAGTAATGTACGAATTTATGTGAGTCAAGTAAATGTAATTCAGTAGGCTTTAAAATACTATACAGTGATGTTAATTAATCTTTTTAATTATGATTTGAAAAATTACATTAGAATCAACATGAAATTCTTTTATAATCTATTCGAAAATTTTCTTCAGATATTTCATCTTCATACAAATGTATTGTATTCTGAATGTTAAATTGCAAAATTTTGAATTTATATATCCTGCCGCAAATAGGCATCACTTTTTTACACTACCGTATAAGCGCGTAATAACGCACATGGACGTTATTTCGAATGTTCAATTTTTTTAAAAATGGTCATGCGCGTCTCAAAGTAACGCGCCCCATATGTACCAAAATATCTTTCATGTGCTATTTTGAATCTTCGAATAAATTTGAATATAATTAGCTTAGGTTCACCTCTAAATCTGAACCTGTTTATCATAAGATTAAACAATGTATCTAGAATTTATTCGTCTTATATTGTATTTATCTCAAAAAAACTAAGTTTATTATGATATTTCAAGAAGTTCTTAGTAACTGATAATTTTTTTTTTCAAAATTAGCATAGTGATTCGAATTATCGCGCATGCGCGTCCCGAAATAAACGCAGGGCTCAAATAACGCGTCCCTGCGCATTATTACGCGCTTATACGTTTTAAAAAGGCAGTAATTACCTTTTTACCGCAGTAAATTTACGTATTAACGTTAACGTTAAAATTTGTTAGGATCTCTTGCAGTATAGGTGAGACTATTAATAAAAAGTATAATTAATCAATTGATTTAGAATAGGTATCACCTATATTGCAAGAGATCCGTTAGCTTCTACTATGCTTTACATAAAAATATCTATTATTGGAGACTAGTGTTATGAGTATCGTAAAATCTTTAAATTTTTTTCTTGCTTTAAAATTAAGTATATCATATGGAAATCTGACAAACCAAATTTTGAATCTTTATTAATTGGATTTTTGACACATTTTGATAAGCGCAAGTAACAATTTAAAAATCTCGATAGAAAACAGTTTTTTAGTAGGAAAATTATTTGTAATCCTACTTAAGTCACACTCGAACATATAAAATTTTGTAAAAAAATGGTAGTCATAAAAGATACGAATAACAATGCTACAACGATAATAAAAGCTAAAGACAGTAAACTAAAGAAATAAAGGTAAATGTAAAAGATAAAAGGGAATAAGATGAAACCTAAAAAAATACTGTATTTTCTTCGAATTTTAAGATTATTTGATTGAACTTCCAATTCATTAATTTCCAACTTTTTACGTAATAACCCTTGAATTTCCTCAGTAGTAAGCACATTAGACAATTTATTTTTAACTTTCTCTAGTTGTTTTCGGGAAAATGTGCTGTCATTTTGTAAAGCTTCTTGTTGAGTATCTAATAAAAGATCCAACCACAATTGATGATCTTCATTCAATTTACTTTTAGTAACAGCTATTTGATACTCTAAATTCGTCTCTTCAATCGCTAATTTTAAATCACTAAGGCCTTGAGTATTTCGAATAATATTAACTGACTGAGTATTATGAATTTCTAGTCGAGTTAAACTATTACATTTATCGATATTTAAGTTTAAAATTTGTTGCTGGTTCCGACCTTGTCCAACACCGTAGATATATAGTTGCTGCAAATTAACAAAGTCACCAAGATCTAAATCTCCTTCCAAAATAGTATTGTAGAATTGATAGCTTGGGGGGCCTGAATGAGGATTTTGGTTTCTATTATTGCAATAATTACAACCATTGTAATATTTAGTATGACCGCTTTGGCATTGTCTGTAGATACGAAGTTGAGTTGCTTGTGCTCTTTGGTCCTTTGGAATTTTTTGATTTAACCATTCACTTGCATTTACCATAGTGTATTGTAATTATTACACGTTAGAAATTAACAAAAAATTATTTCTGTAAAATAGAATATCGATTACGTATATGTACTTAAGCAATAAACAGAGATGTAAACATTCTTAATTGTTGTGGGCACGGGTAATAAAATAGCATGGTTAAAAATCCTATGATTGGCAGCATGGATAAAAATCCTCTGATTGGCTAATAAAATAAATAAAGACAATATAAAAATTGTCCAATCCAATTTCGGA